CTACCACGCCTCTTGCATCTGACAACCATGACCTCACCTAGACTAATGACTGTCAACTTCGAATCCCCAGAAGTACTCGTCAGAGTGCTGGAGGCGTGGTACAAAGTCAAGAGCACCATAAGCGGTAACGTTCGCTGCTGTGAAAGCAGACCGAGAACACTGCGACAACAACAGACAGCAGTTACGCCCTGTGCTCAGGCCACCGTAACCCTAAACCGAAATGTTGAGAGTCAGACCAGAAACCTCCACTCAACACCGAATGCACCAGTCGACGAGGGAAAAAACTTAACTGGGCCAGTTCCACTGGAACTGGCCAGTCAGTAGAAACCCCCACATCCAAACCAGTGCCACTAGTTAACTCAGAGACATCTCACGTTACGAGAAACACATCCAAGTGTCTCTACACCAACGTGAAAGGACTCCGAAGTAAAATGCCAGAGCTCCGATCCCTCTGTCTCGACCTCGCCCCGAAACTCATGATCCTGACAGAAACGTGGTTGTCACCAGACATAATTGACACCGAAGTTAACATAGATGATATGATTCTGTTCAGGAGAGACAAAGAACATAGGGACGGGGAGGTTGCAATATACGTGAACAAGTGGTTCAGAAGTGAACAAACCACTGACAGAGCTCCCAGACTCTATCTGGTGCCACTTCACGGTCAAAACACCAAATTCCTAGTTGGAGGAATCTATAGGTCCCCTAATAGCAACCTGGAACACAACCAAAAACTACTCCAAGCAATATCCACAGTGTCAACTATAAGGTACGACCAGATTTTAATAGCTGGCGACTTCAACGCTCCAACCCTCAGCCTAGAGCAAGGTGGCACTACCCCGAGCCGGAAGTTCGACTGTAACCTGCTAAACGCCATCCAAATGGCTGGACTGCAGGAAAAAATCAGCGAAAACACCCGCTGGGGGTCAGATGGTAAACCATCTTAACTGGATTACCTACTGACTACTGATCCCTTTCTGGTTGAAAACGTTCAGGTACAAACCCCTCTTGGAAGTAGCGATCACGCTACGGTAACGTTCGACCTGGTATTTAGTGAAGAGCTATCATGGGAGGGACCTCGCCCTTACCTATGTTACAACAAGGCAAATTACGAAGGTATGAACAAGAGCCTTTCAACAGCTTCGTGGCCAGTGGATTGGTGTTCCTTGTCGATCGACCAGCACTGGGAACTAGTAAAAGATATCATTAAGGCGGCCGTCTCACAAAACGTCCCTCTCGCGGTAACAACAACCAGGAAGCGAACGTCATGGATAAAACGGGGCACTGAGCGTCCTCTAAAAGCCAAGAGAAGGGCATGGCACACATGGAGACTCTCCAGAGAACAGGACGACCATGACGCATACATGACTCTGCAGAAACGAAGCAACATAAGGGTGCGGGGAGATAGGAGGTCGTTCCTGTCTAACCTCACCGAAAGGCTTCAGGTAAACCCTAAAAACCTTTACCGATTCATGGCAAAAAGAAAATCGACAAGCCGAAGAGCATGTGTCATAAAAGGTCCGAACGGAGAAAACCTCTCTGGACAGGAGATTGCTGAAATGCTGAGCACCACATTTGACACAGCTTAACATTCCATCAAGAAAGTGCGCATACCAATTGCACGAACAGCCCCAACGTTACCCGATGCTACTGAGTTACACGAAATACAGATAACCCGCGCTGTTGTTCTCCACAAGCTTTTAAAGTTAAGCGCGGGAAAATCTCTAGGGTGCGACGACATTCACCCATTTGTGTTGAAAGAATGTGCAAGTACCCTAAAAGGCCCACTCTGCAACCTATTTCAACACTCCTTGGATGAGCGGAAGCTCCCACGAGGGTGGAAACGGGCTATCCTTTCTCCCATCTTCAAAGGAGGAGACAGAATCCCAACTGTTATAGACCCATAGCACTTCTACCAGTAATATCAAAAGTAATGGAAAGTGTGATGGACGACCGTATCAGGGACTATCTGGACACAAAGCAAGAACTCAGTGAAGCTCAACATGGCTTCCGGAATGGTAGGTCCTGTGCCTCCAATCTCCTGACGGCCCATGATCACTGGACAGCATGCTGGGATCTCAAGGTCCCTGTCCACGTAATTTTTCTGGACTTCGCCAAAGCCTTTGACACCGTCTCACACCATATCCTAATACATAAGACAGCTGGGTTAGGTATTCGCAGCCAGGTGCTATCGTGGCTGCAGAACTACTTAGACAACAGGGAGCTCTGCACGAAAGTCAACAGGGTCTACTCAACTTGGAGAACATCCTCATCCGGTGTCTCACAAGGGGCAATCTTGGGCTCACTGTTGTTCCTACTGTTCGTAACTGACTTGCCGCAACATATCAGCTCCCCGATTATCCTATACGCTGATGATGTCAAGTTATGCAGGGCAATAAATTGCGAGGCGGAATCTATGGCATTACAGAAGGACCTCAGAACACTAGAGGAATGGGGAACCAATAACGAACTGGTATTTAATCTGGATAAGTGCTGGTCCATGTTTTTCCGCACTCCTGATCCCCAGAAAACATCCTACTATCTCTGTGGTTCACGTCTATCCCATACCACAGTAGAAAAAGACCTGGGTCTAACGGTGACGGAGAAACTGGACACCAGTTCCAATTACCCAGGTGATGTCTCAAAAGCATATGGGGTACTACACTTTGTGCGTAGACAACTGGGTGCCCTCACCCCAGAACTCTTTCTGAAGCTCTACAAGACTTACATACGGCCCCACTTAGAGGTCCATAACGTCTTCGCCCCACCACAGCTGAAAAGAGGTGCGAACTTACTGGAGAAAGTCCAGAGGCGAGCCACAAAAGGGGTTGTAGGAATGCAACAAAAACCATATGAGGATAGACTCAAAGACCTAGGTCTATACTCCCTTAGCTATCGAAGGATACGTGGCGACTTAATAATGGCTTACAAAATAATGAGTAACCCAAGTCACCCAAACAGAGGAGTCCTACCGAGTGGCCACTACGGAGATCCTCGAGGAAACCCCAATAGAATAGCACACCAGAGGTCAAAAAGCATATACGTTCACAGTTCTTCTCCCTCCGAGTCTGTGGGTACTGGAACGCACTACCAGCAGAGGTGGTCTCCGCCCCAACTGTTGAAAGCTTCAAGAAGAGGCTAGACAGTCATGCAGAGACTCACGGTCTACCCACGCATAGCTGGAACACGAAGTGATGTCAAGCCACCCCAACCAGTTTTCTTTCTATTGTAACCATTTAAGCCCTTTTCACCCCTTCCACTTGCCATAAGTTAGCCTCACTTACCTAAGTTCTTCATACCTTTGCACCCCTACTCACCTTACTTGGGTGTAAGTAGATTACTCCATTAGTTCACTTTTCCTCTTTTCTTTTACTCACACAAACACTTTCTAGGTTTTCTCTTCACTATCCCCAACCCTCTCTGGCGACCAGTCCTAACAACTGTCTGGTAACTCGAAATCTGAAGAAGCCAACTGCACCACAGTCCAAGGCAAACCAACCAACACTTCATGTTCTGTAAATCAGAGCTATAGCAGACGAGTGGCTGGACCTACGGCATCGGAATCCGCCAAAGATCTCGAGCCGTTCCGCAAGACTAAGAAGCAAGCGCGAAGAAATCAACTGGTTTACACACGCTGGTTAAAAAGATATTAGATATCAATATGCGGGAGAGCATTATTTACTGAATTACGTTTCGGAGAGCTGTTGGGGTAGTGTCTGATTGTTAAGAGAGTACCGAGCGAGTATGTGGTCCCCACAAAGCTGCCTACACGCAGTTGTGCAAGGGCTCATGGAGAGGTGTCACCTGAAATAACGACAATCAGTTGTGCCCGATGAAGACGCCCACCGTCACTGTTCTGGTTGAACTTAGACAAAATAAAAGAATATAAGCTCTGGAACCTACGACTAATCAGGGATTGAACTATACCCTGAAGGTCATCAGGTCGAATTCAAGTATGTGGATGAAATTCTCGTAGATGAAGACGCCTTCAGAGAAAATCCCAGTATGTTTGTTATAAGCCTCACACCTGTCAAATGTAAGATGCTTCAGTACTTGTTTGTACCGACTTACACTTTGAGAATAGGGAGTGCGCTGCCAGAATCAGTTGACCGCTTAGTCTAGTTGGAGTTGCGTGACCCTGGGTGATTCGTTTGTTGAAGACGGTTCATTATTTATCAGTTTACGTGATTTATGTTACTTGCAAGTTATCTCACTAGTTGTTAAAGGACGAGAAGATTGTTCTGCGTCCCACTCTGTCTTATCATATGGTTTAGACACAGTTGCTGAAATCACATTATATGAAGTTACAGGTTTCTGACCATAGATGCCTACGCAGCACTGCTCATGCAAGTTTGAATCACTGTGTACGAGACGTTGAGGTCTGGCAAATGAAAGCTAGTCAATGGATCTTTATCGACTTAAGTGGCCTTAACATTTTTGCGCATACCAACTCACTACCTTCTTTGATGTGTAGGGTTGGAAGAAGAGTCAGTGGAAAACCAAGACGCTGTACCAGTCAATCAATCGTCTCGACTTTGGTTTTATTCGTTTAGTGTAGTTTTGACTGCCTAGGTGTGGTCCTCGACATAGCATGACTTGACGGTTTCCAATTTTCGGCGAAATGACAGAAAATAAGTCACAATGGTGCAGATGTATACACTTTTGGATGTCCTTTGGAGTTTGAACATTCTAATCAACCTTTACTTTTTAGAAAATCCTTTTTCACTTCATACACTTGTCTGCTTTATTAGTCTTTTAATATCGTCTTGTTCTTTGTATACTGCTGCGAAGTTCGATAACTTCGAATAATACACCGTTTTTTAGGGTTTCACATTGATTTAGTTTGCTTGTGTCCTGATTATCTCTTAGAGATACGTTCACACCAGAGTATAATCGACGATACAAATTTGTCTACTGTTGTGATTAATTATTGTCCTTGATGCTATTTAACCAACTTTTATCCCATATTGACTTCAAGTAGAAAGCGTTCGAGCTCAAGTGCCTATTACCATATATATTAGCGGTGGCAAGAACATGTCAGATAAACAGAAAGTGAAAAAATCATCAGCAGTCAACAGAGACGGATATGATATGTAATGCTAGCAGCTTATGACTAAACAGCATGAGTTACACTTCCCTTATATCAGAGTTTAAAATGATTGTAGTGGCGCATCAAAGAAGATATTACAGCATATCGACAAAAACCTTTACAAAGCACCATAACCAAACATATTTGCAAAATGGATACAAGCTTGATTTTAAAAACTTCAGCATAATTAGAAAGAATAATAAGGTTGTAAAGAAAACTATACAAATGAGTTTATTACTGTACAAAAATTAATCTGAATTTTTAACCAAAGAGCTCTTAAACAAATTGCCAACTTCATAGTCATCAAGAAAATTGAAATTAAATTTTATCACCAATGAAATCATTTACATGTGCTACTCAAATACGTGAAGAAATATTACAGTTAACTGATTAAATTTTTTAAAAAAATATTTTGACCAGAAATTTCCTCATTAATAAGAGAAACAAAATCAAGTCATTGTTCATTTCTTATGCACAAATATACATATACAAGAAGGTATATGCATCTAAAAATTTGTATTATGCAGAAAACCTTTTCATCAATTGTGTCAGATTCACAACTTTTTATCAGATTTCTGTACATATTTCAAAAGTTTACATACTAATTGTGGGATATTATCTCCTCGCTTGGCTGAAACGAGCATTACTCTATCTCTACTTTCTGGTGTATCACTGATAACACCAAGTGAACATGCTACTTTGTGCAGTGTATGGCTTAATGTTTCAAGAATATATGCATTATTCTCCAAATTATTACACTTTAAATTGAAATCCACTTCGTTCGGAAAATCAAATCCAATTTGCTGCCTAGTATAATACATTTATCGGGACTATTGAGATTGGCATCGTAGGTAGTTACTTCATAATAGAGCATAGATAATTGATTAGTAAGCTCATCTTCGAATTCATGCAGTTTGTCATGACCGCAGCTGCGCCACAATGTCCCACAATCAATGACATAAGCCAGGACAGAACAATCAGAGATTAGGCTTAAAAACTGGGCTCCTAAACCTCTGTTGTAATCAGCTGCACCATCAATGATACCTGGTAGATCAGCAACTGAAATTTAAGAAGACAAAACAGCAAAATAATTTATTGATTATAGTCAGGATAAATAAACCAATCTTTCACAGTTCATAAGTGTAAGATAGATAATGCATATTAAAGAGATATACTCCGCGTTTGATTCATGTGAGAAAAAGAAGTACGTTAAGTCACAAAGTCAGTACGGTATTCAACACTTATCATGCAAGTAGGCAAATAAATATATAGACTTCTGATATCCAAATTCAAAACAGTGATTTAATAGAGCAGTAATGTTTACTGAGGTGCGGGTCCATATAGGTGACGAGTCCAAAATAGAACGGAACGCGCAACCAGGATTCCATTACTAGTCATCAAGTAGACTAGAAGACTTGTGGCTATGGTTTAGGGAGATGACTATCACGGGTTCGAACCCCACTCCACCGACAAAGGTTTGGGCAGCCAGGTAGTATCGCTAACCGTCACCCGAAAAGTGTGGTCATTGCCTATTGCACGAATGTGAACAAGGATTCTGAAAGCGCTTTTATTTTTTTCAGCAGTTTCCAACTGTACACTGGAGAAAATCAAAGATTCGCTGAGATCTGTTAATCAATGATCATGTAAGTCAGGTATCAAAGACCCTCGAACCCCATTTCCAGCGACAAGGGTGTTTACGTGTAATGATGTGGATTAGTCTTGTGTAGGTAATGCTATTATCAAAATGCGAATATATATATATATATATATATATATATATATATATATATATCATAGAAGTTTTCAAGTAAATAAGTAGAATTCAAGTGGTTTACACTATCCAGCTCTTTGATCTACTCAACAATAAACGTATGAAGGTAATAACTAAGCCTGCAGAAAGAGTGAGAGAGAATTCTGTCTACTTTTCATGATACCCCACGACTTGGTCACCAATCATTGGTGACCAAAACAAAACAGCCAACGTCAGTTGTGAGCCTCGGTAGTATGTATTGCACAAAAAATGTCAGAAAAGTTTGTAGACCGAGAACACATTAGCGTTAAGTAGAAAACTCACTAGCGATAGAATGAATCTCGTTTGATGAATCTGGAGAATAATCATTATCTGTTGAATCACTTGATGAATAAAGTTGATAATTCTCAGGAACATTCAACATTCCAATGTGTGGTTGAAGTGTAGTAAATGGATACGGTGCAATTTTAGGTCTGGCCCTTGTTAAACATTTTAATAGTGTAGATTTTCCTGCATTAGGACAGCCAACAAACCCTAAATCTGCAAGTTTACGCATACGCAGAATAAATTCTTTAGTTTCACCTTGACCACCACGTTCAGCTATACGTAATGGAGTATTTTTACTACTCGGTAGTTTCATTGAATCAACTGCTAATGTTGCATACGTCATAAATGCATTGCCTTTACCGCCAGCACCTCCACGTGCAGCCAAGAAAATGTCGCCTGGTGATTGTAATGTTTTCATCAAAACACTGGACCTGTTATCTTTGCTTACACTATCAAGATTTTCACATGCAGAAAATATTTGTGTACCCAGTGGAACCTAAATATAAAACAGAAATATAGAAACAATGAATCGGATTAATATTAGAAGTAAACTAATCGCTAGATAGCGCAGAAATGAAATGCTTATAAAAGCCAAATTATTTCAATTATCTACCTAATAAACAAACGAAATCATGAAGAGAGAAGAGCAACAAGATGAAGATAACAAAATGGAACTCGCCAAGGAAAAAAACCTGGGACCAAATAGGTTTAGATTAACCAAACTTTTGAAATTATTACGTCCATGCTCTAATGAAGTTTTTGGTCATCACAGACCAATGAATGATTGACTATATGGATTAAATTGTGTAGTGACTAGATAACAAGAATGTAAGTCTAGGACGTGCGTGAGGACATGGGCAACAAACACCTCGAGCACCACATCTCAACACTTTTCCCACATAACCCAAAATCAAATAAGCAATCCATGGGCTGCTCATTTAATACTTTAACGTACACCAGTTTTTAACGATTGAATGTACATAATCTAAGTATTTTTTCAACATACAGAATACACTCTCACAAGGCAGTGCTACGCCAAGTATTTGAACCCAAATGAACAATCAGATAATTCGCAGGTAGAACAAGTGTTGGACAATAAACTTGCCATTTCGGAACAATCCAACAACGAATGAGAATCAGAGATAGTCTCCTCATATTAGCCTACATTATTAACTATCCCAGTCTATAAGAAACCAAGAAAAGCATCCTTGTGACAGTGATACGGGAATCAGTTTAAGATAACACCATGTCATTCAAGATCCTAGGATCCAATATTATGTGACGCCGAACTGCAGTTCAACAGCAACAAACTTGAACAAACCAGGGAGATTGCAGACCTCAACGAGGGTGTACTGATCAAATTTGTAGTCTTCAACAGGATCTCTTATATATATATATATATATATATATATATATATATATATATATATATATATATATATATATATATATAACACAACAAAAAATAAGCAAAATTATCAAGCAGTAGTTCTACCTTTACATAAACATGGTCCGCATTCTCACCATGACAATCATTCATTGATCCACTGGCACCATTTTGGCCTTTTATAACAGTGGGTACGTTTGATAAGTCAGATGTACTTTCATCAGCTAAATTTAGATCGGTAATAAAATAAACAAACAGAACGTATGCATGTAGTTATCAACTACAAACAACAGCAGTGGGTAACTTATCCATAGTAAATGAATGTAACATTTATTTCCAACAATATTAATCTGAAGGGAAATTCTCGACATATCAGTAGTTACATATTAACAGTCTACAAATATTTTTGTCTAGTAGTATGAGCTGCATAAGTCTCGAAGAGTATATATATATATATATATATATATATATATATATATATATATATATATATATATATATATATATACAAACAAGCCTGCAGTTTTCATCTTCAGATAACACTGACAACATATCGATCACTTTATTAAATGGAACATAGCGTTTACTACACCAAACAAATGATGTCTGGGACCAATCCATGCAAAAATTTAATGCTTTTCTAAAAGATCAGTAGGCGCTATGAAGAGTAAAGAATACATTTCATAGGTCGCAACATCTTTAATGATAACAATCAGTTATAAATTAGGTGGATCAGTAGAATGTTGTTCACATATAATACAGATTCCTTATTCTAATTCACTTCATTCATCAAAGGTGCTAATGCGAATGTGTAGCGGTTTAAGTTCACATATTTCAACCTGTGGGGTCAACCAGTGGAAAGGGAGGCAGATACCAACTGAAGACTATTGGGTGATAGTCACGCTATATCGCGAATTGATAGAAGTAGAAAACTGTGGATCGTTGAACTCCGACCCAATGGGTGAATAGTTAACGCGTTCGCAGTGAAACCTAAAGGTCTTGAGTTAGGTCCCTAGCCGGGTCTTGGGTGCGTACTGCTGAGTAGTCCGTGCCAGGATGAAACGACTATCCAATGCTCCCAGGTTTTCAATGGTTCTCCAACTGATATCAGTCCATGATGAATGGTACCTTAAAAAACAAATCCCTGTTAACCTCAAAATACTTATATATTTACCATTTGGGCAGAAAATAGCTAAGATAGAAATTTTAAACAACTTCATTGTCAAACAAGAAATTAGGTGGAGTTTTGAAGCATTATTTCGTATCCCAAAGGCATAAACTGCAAATGGAATATCGTTAAGCCTCCAGATATCCAATTCAATAGGTTACTTTTACACATAGTTAGTACATACAATCAACATCACTGTATCGCCAGTATGTTAAAGATTGGTTGACCCTCAACATAATGAAACGCACGAAAGCCGGTAAAATAAAACTAAATGTATCTGAATAGAAATGTAGTAAAAGAGAATTGGTATGAATGATGTTCACTGGAGGGTAGGTTAACATACATTCGTAATTGTATATAACAGTTCCTGTGTAGTTTCAAGTTATTGACGTATATCTGTACACGGACTGATACTTAGACAAAACATCTCAAATTATGCTACCGAAGTTCATTTTTAGATGGGAAATGAATAACCATGATTGGGTGCTGCTCTATCTTAGACAACAAAAGGTAGAAACCACTATAATATTTCCCTCTATCTGCTTTGAAATCTGGTTAGTTCTTCTGTTTTGATAAACACACCAACCAGCAGTAAAACTGAATCATTCACGATAACTTCTGTACAGCTCAACTAGATTGAACCGTGATTTATTGGTCTGGGTACTCGACTTTAGACCAATGAGTCACTGGTTCGAGCCCCGCCTCACTAGGGTTTGGGTAGCCAAGTATACTTTTAAAACAGTTCATTCCCATTTCTATGTCATGATCATACTCTTGCGAAGAAATTGGATGAGAATAAGGTCAATATCGAGTTATAAATTTTAGTGATGACACTATGCATAAACCTCTTTGTAAGGAAGAACGTTAAAATCATCACCACAAACAAGTAGAATAAAGTTGTTTGGTTCTTCTGTGGTCTTCGGGAAATATACTCCGAAAATGTAGTGATAGAAATTTCGAGTATTCATATGACTGAACACCTCAGATCCCAAAACAACCATAAATATCAGCAAGGAACTGAGGGTGTCATTTGAGCCGAATATATATACAGAGAGAGAGAGCTCATCGGTTTAGGTAACTGATGTTCAACCAGTAGGTTGCATTCGAACGCCGACCCATACACCGAGGTCTAAGCAGTTAGGTATCATTATCAGCAGAAAATTGTCTAGAGTACAAATATGCACGCGACTGTTTAGTTATATTTTTTCTAAACAGTGACAAAATGAAACATACAACTGAAAGTCACTGAAGAACCCATAGCTCAAGGTTACACAAACCTAAGTGTGACACAATTATCAACTTGTGTATCAAAACTTATGAAGTGTAAATTGGAAGTAGCACAAAATTCAACTGACTCTAAATCCTATCTCAGTGATACTGTGATCTCCAGACCGGATGACAAAAAGTAAGCGCAATTAAGATTAGTCATATCAAGCAATATCGACTGAACAAACTTTTGAAAAATTGAGGTGAGTGACTTCCTCAATGACTGCTTTAGGAGTCTTTTCTGAAGATAAAATGCAGTTACAATCGTTCAACGGTTTCAAAATCCATCCCTCTCATGCTGTCAAAGTAATCATGTTAGGGTGACCATTAAACCACACACATGAAAGCTGATAGAGCAAGGAGAGGAGGATGGTGAAGCAGAATATAAACCAGTGCAAGGATGAACGACGAGGAGAGGAACTGAGTACAATGTATAAAACACTGCACCGGACAAAGAAGTGAAGAAGAGTGCACGGAAAGACAAAAGACACTTCTACAAAACACTGGCAAGTGAAGCAGAACAGGCTGCAGGTAAGAGAGATAGAAACCTGACAACATTGTATCAAATAACCAGGTTGCTATCTGACAAGAGATCAACGCAGACGAAACCAATAAAAGATGATGACGGAAACTTAATTACGAAAGAAGAGAAACGAACGAAACAATGGGCCGACCACTTCAAGAAGCTCTTGAATCGACCACCACCTGCACTTCGTCCACAAATACCACCTGCAGCCGCTGAACTACAAGTGAACATAAATCCTCCAACGAAAATGGAAGTCCTGAACGCCATAAAGCCACTGAAATGTAGGGAAGCAGCAGGACCAGACGGGATACCGCCAGAAGCACTGAGAACAGACGCAGAGACAACAGCGGACATGCTTACACCACTATTGCATAAGGTGTGGAAGGAAGGAAAGGTGCCTGCCGATTGATTGGAAGAAGGGTTACCTTGTCAAACTCCCGAAGACAGGGGGGACCTCAGTCTTTGCAAGAACATGCGCGGAATCACTCTCCTGTCCACCCAAAGCAAGCAAAATATTAGGCCGCATCATCCTGGAGAGACTAAAGGATACGCTGGATTCAAAACTACGACCGGAACAGGCAGGCTGGCTGGATTCAGCAAGTACAAATCATGTGCAGACCAAATTACATCGCTACGCTTCGCATCATCATAGAACAGAGTATAGAATGGCAGTCAACTCTACACCTCAACTTTATCGACTTTGAGAAGGCCCTTGACAGTGTAGACCGAGAGGTAATTTGGAAACTGCTTCAATACCACGGAATAGCGCAAACCTTTATAAGCCTCATTCAACAACTATATGGAGATGCCACATGCCAAGTAATTCACAATGGGGAGCTCAGCTCAGTGATGCTTTTGAAGTGAAGACAGGAGTGAAACAAGGTTGCCTACTACCACCTATGATATTCCTGATTGTGGTCGACTGGACTAGATCATGCAACAAACAGTGGGGAGCGAGAAGAGGGGGATATGCTAGCTGGACTGCGGAAAAGAACCTAGAAGACTCGGATTTCGCCGATGACTTGTGTCTGATGTCGCACAAACTTGAAGATCTGCAGGCGAAAACTAACAAGTTGACAGAAGAGGAAGGGCAGCGAAGACGGGACTTCAAGTGAACATAGAAAAGACAGAGGTAATGAAGATACCCAACCAACACCGACGGCAACAATAACAGCAACAACCTCCAATCACCATCAACGGGAGAAACTTAAAGGAAGTAACCTCCTTCACCTATCTAGGCAGCACTGTTTCAACTACAGGCGGCACTGACGAGGATGTCAAAACCAGGATCGAAAAAGCAAGACAGGCATTCATTAGCCTGAAACCAGTGTGGAGATCTTCTGCACTCCACTCAGCATGTGGAACAAGATCCGGATTTTCAACACCAACGTCAAGTCAGTGCTTCTATGTGATGGTTCAGAGACTTGGCACGTTACGAAAGGGATTTCCAACAAACTACAGATATTCATCAACAACTGCCGCCTACGCTGGCTCGTTACTGAAGATCAGATGGTCAGAAATAATAAGCAACAAGGATCTCTGGCAACAAACCAACCAAGAATCTATCGCTCAACAAATATGCAGAAGGAAGTGGAGATGGGTTGAGCATATACTGAGAAGGCTGACTGGGGGCATCACGCGCCAGGCCAGTTCCTCGAGTGGAACCCAGATGGGAAGCGATGAGTTGGGCGTCCCAGCTGAGGGTGACATGAAGGAGATCGTGCGAGGAGGAAATGAGAGCTTGTGGGCAGTCGTGAAGCCAGGTTCAAAAGATTTCAGAGGACAGAGTGCACTGAAGACGTGTTACTGAAGCCCTATGGTCCATTAGGAACGCAAGGGACACATAATAATAATAATAATCCGCACTATACTCGCTGCTATCTCTTTGTTATTCCTATTCATACACCCACTGACTGCACTTCAGATGAAGTGAAGAATGAGTTATACCGAAAACTATCTGGCCTCCTACTGAAAGTCAAGCGTTCATACGTGATAGTTGCTGCAGGTAATTTTGGTGCACAACAGGAGTGAATAGGCTGAGTCAGACAGGTACTTAGGTGGTATTTTCGGAATCCCAGCCGAAAGAACAGATAACGAGGATCACCTACTACGACTAAGGTGAGATTACCATTTGCTTCTGGCCAGCACGAACTTCAGACATAAAAAGAAGCATTGTCTGGTGTGGCAACTCCCAACCTCAAATCAGCGGTGGACACAGATAGATCATATTGTCATCAATTACTCATGAATGGTGTGTCTGAGATTATCACTCCTCCTGGAACACGTGTTCGGAAAGCGACCATATGTTGGTTTGAGTGCGTGTATATTTACGTCTAAATGGACATAGACAAAGTTCAGGGAAAAAAACCAATGTGACTGCCGCTTACCAACGATATCAATATGGCTGCTTTCATTGAGAAACTGACTCGGCAGTTATCGGAACCAAACAACACTACTCGTCTGGACAGTGATGAGTGTGACAGTTTATGGGTCCAAACTTGTCTAATCACGTGTTCCCAATAGTGAAAGAAGCATCAGCTAATACTCCTTGGTCGACTAGCCTCCTGCTAATATTCCGTTGTCAGCGGCACAATTCGTGAATTATTGAGATAGGACCCCCAACACTTACAGAAGTTGAGAAAGCTGTATGACATTTGAAATGAAGAAGGGTAGCAGGACCAGACGGACTAGTCCCAGAGTCATTTGAGGACGGTAGTAGAAGATTACTGGTCAGATTAACTGAAGCAATAGCTATTGTATGGTAATTACATATCATACCTTCTAACTGGTCTCAATCACTGATCGTCATGGTCTTCAAGAAAGGGGAGAAATCCTCTTGTATTAACCACAGAGGGGTCAGCCTGACGAACAGTGTCTAAAATTCTAGGTTCTAAAATCATCAAATGAGTAAAGATCGGGAACAGTATACGTGAGGAAACTGGGGAGCTTTCATATCCGGTTGTGGGTGCATTCATCAGATATCTACCGTCCACAAGATTCTGGAACACAAACTTACAGACACCGGATAAAGTGTTTCCAGACCTGAAATGAAATGCTCTCAGCAACCTTGCGCATAGTCATGCATTAGGCAATGAGCCCCAACTATTGTGTAAGGGCTAGTGAGATACTACCTTGGTAATTGGGGCGGAACTCGAACCCATGACCCATTCGTTGAAAGTCATCTCCCTTAACCAAGAAGCCACAGCTCATTCGAAACCTGAAGGTGGCATTCGACTCCACCGACCAAGAGGTTTTATGGTTGTGTATCTCATTCAAAGGGGTTCCGATTAGGTAATCCCCCTGTTGAAGGTTCAGTATTCGAACACCTGTGGGAGTATTAGGGCCAATGATTAGTTATCACGTGCGTTGTGTACGTCGAGTGGTGTCCGTTACAGACGTTCAGTCTCTCCTTTCTGATTCAATCTTATCACAGACACAACTATGGAAGTTCCTCTTTCATATTTTCACTTTACGTGAATTGATCTTACCAGATGAGAATCCTGGGTAGATCTAGAGCATGTATATGACAGTTCCGTTAGGTGAAGACCCTGACAAGATGAAGAGTCTTTTGGACACCTTGAGTAGCATTTTGAGAATGTTTGGGATGCGTTTCTTACCACCCAAATGAAAATCCTTGCCTCAGGATTGATCTTCAGTAGTGCCCTGTCTAAAAGGAGGGAGTGAAATGGCTGGACACTTCGCTTACTTGGGAAGTCGGGGCATTCTTCGTCGGTCAGTGGTCGATGAGATCTCTGTACGAATACAATATACGATTGTCTATTAGGGTAGAGTGCATTGCGCTGCATTTTGCTCTGTTCTGAAATAAGGTCGTGAAGCATGGTTATTAATGGTGGAGGACATGAGAACGCTCCTGGTGTTTGACCACCATTGCCTCCGTAGTATTAGCCGTATATTGTGGTGTCCCCACGTCAGTTATGCATAGTCAGGTGTAGAGTTTTGGGGAGGAGTGGAAAGTCAGTTGATGCGGTTGTGAAGCTTCATCGACTCAGGAGGATGGAGCATATGTTACGCAGACCTAGCCGTCATCTCCCTCGTTGTGCAATGTTAGCTAAAGTGAGTTAAGGCTGGGAAAAGGTTACAGGCGGCCAGACCAAAACATGACATAGGTCACTGAAGTTTCTGATTGTTGATCTGAACCATGTACGGAAATGTAGGCTAGCCAGTTGGCGTCCGTGTGACACCAGAAATTGGTGGTTAGAGACTCTAGGTAATATGGTTCAGAATCGATGTCAGTGGCGTTGATGTATCTACACTTTATCTTTATCTTAAACCCTATGTTCGATTTAGCATCCTCTTATTCCTCCTTTCTCTGTTTTACTGCTTTTGACAGACTTTTCTCTTTTTTCACCTTTCATTTTACTGCTTTGTTGCTTATTGTGCTGATTATGAGGTGTGGTAGCTTGAACCACTAAGCAGTAATGCCTGGTCCCATGCTGATATTGACGATAATGGATGTAACCTTACTACCTCTTTCCTGAATGTTGGAAGATGCCTCAATATCAGTTCTGACTGGTAATACAAAAAAGAAATATGGTGTATAAAACCACATCTAAAAGCTCCCGAAAATATGGAAACCATTTCCGTATTTCACTTTGTATGACATAAGTCATTTTAGTACATTTATATGAGAGGATTTGTAATTGTAAATTACTCTGCTATAGGTTTATGTTTTAGGCTATGAGCCATCCTTGTTTAAGAATTTAGGGAAGTATAAGGTCGCTTTGGCAAAATTACATGAAATGCGATGAGAACTTATATGTTATGTGCACTAATTAAAAAAACACCATTTTCCTTACCTCTAAAAATCACATGTGCTCCATTTCCACCGTCCCCACCACTAGGACCAGCGTGTGGATTACAGAAGATACGTCGAAAAGCAATACATCCATTACCACCGTCGCCAGCTTTTACAACAACTCGTTTACTGGATATAAATGGGCGTACCTACAAATTGTGTAATGAAACGAATATGAAAAGTCACTCATTATTCTGAATTAAACTTTGATACATAACTCAACAAGAGTATGATAAAAAATGACTGATTTCAGTTTAAACATAGTTATTCAATTATACGAATCAAATAACAACAACAAAGTGAAAAAAGAGATACTTTGAAACCATTCGTAAGTTAGCCAAAAACCACTGAACATGTGCTCAAATGTTTTTGTACATCACTTTTACATCATCTTACAAATCTGTATGGTTTTCAATAGGTCATCAAGTTGATACAGACTATTTCTCACTTTTTGACGCTACGGCTTTGCCAAAAATCAGCTTTCCCAAATAATTCCGTTCTTCAAAGTAAAGTTTGTCTATGTGCTTTTCTGTAGAAATTGACCTTAAACCGCCTAAGACGTTTAGGCATTCATATCATTGTTTTATCCTGTGAAACCTATCTAGTGATATCAAAATGTTCTAATACTTACTTTTTAGAAGTGTATATCACGAAAAGTAACTATGGAAAGAATTTCACGATAGAACAACATACAAAACTCCACTTTAACAAAATTATCCAGATAATTCATGTGCACATTTTACCTTAGAGTACATAGTTTTCAAAGCTCTCAAATGTCTAGTTGTCTTAATTGTTCGAGGTATTATTGGCCTATAGAGTGGTGGTAACCAAATTACTCTGCACTATGGTGAATAAGTTAGTGGACACATGATTTATGTACTAGGTAATGAACGGTAACCACCTTTTACAGAAGCAAGTAACAATGCTTAGATGCTTAGTCCATAGTTCAGTAGATAATTGAACACCACCAGTTGTTCTGAACACAATCGCTAAAGAAACAACCTTATTACGGAAATTAACGATATTTAAATGAAAAATTCATTCATTCATTGGTATCTAAATCTTTGAAATTACTTGGGCAAAACTCGATCAAAACGCACAAAACCGTTCATCAATACCATTTTATATAGTAATTTAATGGCATCATCAACTGACTATGTGAACAATAAAAAACCATTTAGACAAGTCAGTCACTAAACCAGGTGTCAATAAAATATGATAAAGTGAAATAAAACCATACAGCTCTTTCTATAAAAGTAATTCAGACTTAATTCAAAAAGTTGAGTGAATTCATTTGATTTCATAGCTTATCTTCAACCAGTGTGATGAAGAATCGATAGTTAGCCATCAGTCATTCACAGAACAGCTGTAAAAAACAGCCACTGGTAGGAATGAAACTAAGATACTGCTACAGATTGGGGCTTGAAGGTAGACTAGTGGGGGTTCTGGAGACTAGTCTAAAAGATGATGACGTGAATCCTCCTACAACTTAAGTTTTCTGACAACTCAATCATCATACCTTAATAAGATGAGTTTTTCAACTCAGACTATCTCAGGAAAATTAAATAATAACCTCCTTAATCCAACTCAAACCAATACACATTTATTTGCTAGTGCTTCAACTACACTCATTGTATGAAGACTTATGATACCACCCGGTTGCCGAGGGTGAAGTAGGGAAGATCGGAAAGTTCAACTAATATAAATTCACAATATGAGAACACATATTTCAGTTATACGCAAGGAAAAAGAAAATAGGCAGTCTTATGAAATGAGGGCAACTAAATGATGGTATAGTCACCTCAATTTGTTATAACAAACCGAAAAATGGAAATAGGAACTTCAGACGAGGTATTTTACTTAATTTATGGCATTATTGTGTAGCTCGACTTAGGAGCTTTTTATTGACTCCGCACTCATTTTCATACAACTAATCGTTTCGAAACAATTCCATGTTAACTGCGATCGACTGTTGTATAATATTACTTCAATTTTTATGCGTGAAACCAGTCTTTATGCTGCGTTACGGACATGTATTCAGTTGTGCAATTGTATGTACTTGGATCCCATAAAATACAAAAATAGTGAGACGTACGCCTTTGTCTCCTATGTTACAGTGGAATAAGAGGGGAGGGTTAAGGATTCCAAGTATTACCTCCTGCCATTAATTCAGTTAGTGACCTATAGGTGTGGGGTAAAGGGCAACAGGTGTAGCGATATTCAGAAACTGTGAGGTGCTGAAAGTTAAAAACCGCATGACACTGTAAAAGTTAAGTATTTCGCAGTTTTCAGTTAAAACACGCGATATAAAGGTATTTCAGTTCATTTAGCGTTATAACACAAATGATAATGGCAAAAATATCCGCTAGTAAAGAGTTGGTAACATAATCCGGAAATTTTTAACTGACAGCTCAGAACAAAACCTATCACAGAGCTGAATGCAAGCTTAACATGGATAAGTATTACGTTATAACTTATAACACATCAACAGATGAAAACGCGTTAAACTGAGTCAAAATTAATTGCATTATGCAACAGATATTGGTGGCACTGTTATAAACAAAAAGCTTACAGCTGAATGGGTTCTACCTAGGTCGACCTATATTTATTTATTCATGTGGCAGTCTGAGTGTAAACAGGTTTTATCTTGATTACAAAAGCATCATTTTAACTTCATGCAGTTTTAAATATTCTTATCACCGTCTCCTTTGAAATCCATATTAGATTTGTTTATTTGATATACCACACAGTTATACAATATAATTCACTGGATGACAATATCACTGTGTGCATTTTCGAAGAAAAAGACCCAACATGGAATTACGTTACAACACAGTGACCAATTTTTATTCTCATATGAAGTGTTTTGAAAATCTACTGTTGCCCAGGCAATTTTCACACAGTGTTAACGCGTCAACCATCCTTAGGATGGATATGTCTTTTAATTTCTCTATAATTGCCTCTCCTATTGAATAGATCGCACAAGTAGTACAGGCACATATTGGTGAGATTTTGAAATGCCTTAATTACAACTCAACATCAAAATTAGCCATAAATGCCTCATTAATAATACGCATTCCCACATAAATGAAAATCGTAAGTTTAAATAAACATCATGAGTTTCAGCAATTCATCAACAGTCAAGCGTTGAATGGGAATCCTACACTGCTAAAAAATACGAAATATTTGAATCTACTCTAGATCTTTATTTTACAAGTACAACTAAGAAATCAGCTAATGTGAATATAGTGCGAAAAGATTTTGAGGGTAAAGTGTTCTTATAGGTCATATCCATTGTGACGCAAGTGACTAGGCAAATCTCCTTTGAACATGATCTACAAGAACATTTTACTCTCAAAATCTTTTCTTTCATATCTTACACGTCACATTCTTACAACCCGATAAATCTGATTTCTCATTACATTCACTACTCCATTAAGTGTGAATATTATTCGTGTTATAGCTTGCAGTTTCGCGTCATCAACTGGATTTGATGGATCGACCACCATTAGCGTATGAGTACCAGTGCGAATGTCTCAACATCACCCATAATTTCAGTTAGACAATGATGATAGATAATAACTAGGAGTGGGTAGTGGTTGATCAATTCATTCCAACCAACGATGGTAAACTACAAGCTATAAAGTCAAACTATACCCATCGGACATGGAATCGTTATTGTGACTCAGTAGCCAGATTAACAACCCCCCAGCATCCAGTTTGAGTCTAAGTAAGAACAAAATTATTCGCTGGGAGGGAAGTACATTCAGCTTTTAGTCCTAAGTAGGACGAAAAGTTTATCCTGGATTATATTGTTAGTAATTATAAATCTTTGGTATCAAATATTGTTCATAACCACATGTGATAAAATTTTTTGCAAGAAATTCAACTCAAAATCCTCTCTTGTGCGCAACATTATTCATACACTACTTTTATAAAGCGAACAGCTATTAAATCAAAATTCTTTCTTTAACACACTGTACTTAAAACAAATGAACTTATATGAACTTAAGTATAAACCATTTAGAAATGATGCCATGACCTAACTGGAAAACAATGAACCACAGCTGCTTTTTAGCAGTAAAATAAACAATTATCAACGACAGAAGTGGAAAAAAAACCAATTAAACCAAATTTTAAATAAAATTACTTGTCAAAAAAGTCATAACTGTCACCTTTTTGAAGCAAAAAGAGTCAGTGAAAATATTCCTTGATATAGGTTCAAAAAGCTGCTTGAAGAATTGAAACTGACTACAACAACGTGGAAAATAAGATTTCATCTAAGTGCATCAAACAAGACGATGATGTAGCGAAGCCTGAATTCTCAGCTTTAGACCAAGATTTCTCATTGTGTAGAAATCATTCGATTTTAATACTTTAAAATGCTTGCATACCGGTTGTGTTTCAAATACGGTGAAAGTGAAATACCATTTTGGTTCATGACACAACAAACAAAGAAAATCAAAGTAGAATCTCGAACAGATGCGCCACACTTTACAGTTTCATACAAATACCGATGGGATGAAAAGCAGACGAAAGTGTGCGGCGTGGTGGGAGAGTGCCAGAGGAAGATTAGCAGAAACGTTAAAACTCTAGGAGACGTCACAAAGTGATTACATGTGCACGTTTGTGAACGGTTTTCAACCAAACCAACAAAAGTCACCATCCACTGGTTTTATTATCACTAGGATCGTTGATAGGAAATCTAAAAGAATCAGCCAAACAGTCAAAGACTGTTTGGTTTTACCGTCTAGAATATCCTCCCCATGCAGTCCTATTACGGCTAAAATCGAAAATCCATTTAGGCATGTACAAGAGATGTCTAAAAGACCTCACAAGATAACGATCCACAACTCCATCCACTGACTTGCCTTCCTCGTTAACTACCCTCCACCTAACTTTGAAACTGCTACCACGGTGATAACACCATATGTGAGCAATGCTGCAAAAACACCTGTACTTGCTAGTTAATTGGAAGCAATCAGCCAGAAACCAGTAACATCACACATTTCAATAAACGACCATGTCTCAGGTGTGTAGTGAGACGAAGTGGCTGCAGCGCAGCATAGCCGTCACTTAAAAGGTAGTGAGATGCGCTACTGGTAACAGATCGCGTAAGATCACAAATACTGAACTATCCGAGCTGCGA